GTAAAATGTTCAAACTTTCCTTATAGAGAGATTGCTTCTGGTTAAAATCAGTCTTTCAATACAAAATAAAAAACTAAAAAAACTAAAAAAGGGGTGTCTGTTTTTTTTTAAAACGCCAAGTATATTTAACCCAGCTAATCTTAGCTTTTACAGACTGAAGGGACCGTAAGTGTTAACCCTAACCCTAACCTCAGACTGTAAAGAACATACAGTGTCAATAATTCAGGGATGCTTTACACATGTTTGTGTGTTTTCTTTCTTCTTTTTTATTCCTTTCCGTCACACTCTTTTCTTCGTGTTCTTCCACCATTCTTTTTTCTTCATATTCTTTCTTCCTTTCTTTGCTTCCGTCTATCATTCTTTTCCAACACTCTATTCTCTTCATGTTTTTCTATCCCATCACACTCTTTTTCGCGTTCTTCTTTCATTCCTTCCTTTCACAGTCTTTACTTCATGTTCTTCCATCATTCTCTTTCCTTCAAGTTCTTTTTTTCAGTTATACTTTTTTCTTCATTTTTTTTTCTTTTTCCCCATCACAGTCTTTCCTTCATGTTCTTCTATTCCATCACATTCTTTTCTTCATGCTCTTCCTTCCTGTCACACTGATTAATAAAGTCAGACAGGATGCACATTACATTTAATTTGCTCATCCACTTGTCTGACAGGCTAGAGCAAGGTCACGATCGTAAATCTGACCGACTGGAGTATTCGTTATAACAATCATTATACGTAAGTCAACTTCCATTCATTGAGAATAAACGTACTTGTCCTGTATACCAGAACAATATTATGTTTTGCTTGTTGTGACCTGTGCATGTGTCCTTTTGCCGTTTGTTTTTCTTCGTCGTCAACCTCATGCATGTTTTTTTTACGACGTTAAAGAAATATTGCTTTTTAAGACAGCCGACGGGTTTCTGTGGTGTAGTGGTTAAGCCATTCGCTGTCGCATGCAGGTGGCCCAAGTTCTGGTTCCGAATGAGTAAAAAGAAAATTTTTCATCGAGTATCTGGGTCTTTCCTGCTGGGATATGTATCCCTCTCAAGTGGTGATATGGTCCGGGTTTGACGCCTTTATCAACACTATTAGGTTATTTAAGAGGCGGAACCTCCGAGTGTAACGTCCATCTCCGAAAGGAACGAGCCAAATGGGAATGTCGTGTAAAAGGCCTTTTTTCCCAAGGACACAATGTCGAGCAAAGCTGAGGCTCAAACCCCGTACCTCACGATTACCTCTCCGGTAGCCTATCCACAAGACTTCTGACGCCTATCCCTCTCAGCCTGGGTTGGCCCTGACAGGAAGAGTCGGAAGCCCGTCTCCTAAATAATCTAAGGTGCATACTCCCAGCTTCGGCACTTATGTGACCTAATTGTGTTGCAAGTGCCGTAAAGCTCTTACCGGGGGCTCTCGTGGCCTAGGAGTTAAGATGTTCGCCTCTCACTCAAAGGTCCCGGATTCCAATCCGGGTAGTAACGGAAGCATTTTCTTCTCTAAAATTGTCTCCTTATGCAGTTGCGAGCGCCGTAAAACACTTACAAAAACAAACAAAATAAAAGCTCTTATCAAAACTAAAAAAACATACTGGCAGTCGTGCGATGAGTGCCACTGTTCGCAGATCTTAAGTAGCCGAAAGTGCTGACCAATATTTTGATGAAGTGTTCAAAATCTTGTGTCGAGAAACTTTTAAAATGTATATTTTCCGCTTCTTTATTTCCTAGATAGCTGTAGTGTAAAAAACAAAAACACAAAAAAACCCCACAAAAAAACACGGTGGTTGGCGGGTGATCTGGTGTGGTTTGCTTCTTCTTTCCTATCAAACAACTCTCGTCCTGATCTCTCCTCCTTTTTTGTGTTTGTTACTCTCTTGTAACACCTCTAATCTTCGGCACTTATATGACCTTATTGTGTTGCAAGTACCGTAAAACTCTTACTAAAATTAAAACTAATGTCCAAAAGAAAACAAGGTGGTTTTGACGAACAAGGCCGTAGTTGTATGCAGCCCATCTCCTTAAAGATATTATAATAACGAATAATGATAAATAAATAACATTTTCAAAGCCCATTTCCCCGCTCAACGGCAAGCGCGATGCTCTTTACAACCTGCATTATTGCTTGAAGTATGTCCATGGTATGTGAGATCTGTTTATTTTGATGTCTGATTATAATTGTGACCTATTTATTTTGACAAACGGACCAGTTTTAAGTCGTGACGTCTTTGACCTATTTGGTGCTGTAAATGGAACAAGTCGGGATATCTGTGACCTATTAATTGTGACAAACGGAAAAGGTCGGGATGTCTTTGATCTATTTATTTTGGCAAATGGAGCAAGACGTGATATCTGTGACCTATTTATTGTGGCATACGTGTCTTTGGCCTATTTATTGTGGCAAATGGAATAAGTCGTGCCATCTGTGACCTATTTATTGTGGCAAATGGAACAGGTCGTGATAAATGTGACCTGGCCTGTATGACCTAGTTACTGCGACAGACTAATCCAGCTGACGGAGATATCAAACAGCCTGGAGTCGGCCCAGGTGGAACACTTGACCGTGAAGCCCTTCTCGTCCACCTTCAGAACCTCCACGTAGAACCGGGTGTTGGCGTTCTTGTCGTGGTCTAGCGCCACTACCCCCAGCTTCATGGTGGGGGACTGGTCGTAAGCGCGCTGGAACGTGTGAGAAACGAGGTTGGACCAGTCGCCTTGTTCGTCGTTCTTCCAGTGTGTGGAGTCTCCGCAGTGGACGATGCCTGTCTCCACGTGCTTGGGCTGGCAGCAGCTGGCCAGCAGAGACTGTTGTGTGGCCAGGTCGTTGTTGATTTGCTCGAACTCGTTGCCTAGCGACGCCTTTTCGCTTTCCAGCTGGCGGATATGGCTCACCTGTGGGGTACAGAAGTAGAACCGGATTAGGGAGCAGTCAGAAATCTTCTGGCGAGAAGGTTAAAACATATTTGAAAAAGACTGAAAAGTTGGGTGACGGCAAAGGGGTACTTATAACCTCTTTTGGGTGACGTGGAAAGACCAGTATGATATAAATTTTCAAACAAATAAATGTTTACGATCGTACGAAGGATTCTATTAAATTCTATTAATAATAAAATGGACAGAATTTATTACAAATAATGAAATATTGGAAAGAGCTGGAATTGAAGACATTAACACAACGAAAAAAGGAGAAGATGGACATGTTCTAAGAATGCCGAAAACACAATTGCCTTATCAGACATGGTATTGGAGAAAAACTGGAAAAAGAAAAAGAGGAAGATCAACTGGAATTTACAGAAGCTCAACAGTGGGTGAAGCAATCTCCCAGGGCTTAGAAGTGCTAAGAGTAGCGAAGGTGGCCAGGGACAGGTAAGCGTCGACTGCTCTCAGCCTTATTAACACAAGTAAGTAAATGAGTGGTCGCTTTTAAGCGCAAGGGGGCTATCCCAATAAGTGCTGTTTTGAGAAAATCGAAGGTAAAGTTTTGCCCCTTGCTCAGTCTCTATAAAATACAAGGAGAATTTTCTCTATAACAAAAACAAATATATGCAACGATGAAACCAAACTTCTCATAATATAGGTAGGGCAATGCACACTTTTGGTGTAGGTCAAGATTTCTGGAAACCCTCGAAATCTGGGTTAGTCCGCTTGTCCTTAATAGCGACCAAGTAAGAGAGCATGAGGGCAAAGAAATGAATAGAGAACCACCATCTGTGGTTGGTTGGACGGCTGTGGTGAGGTTTGCTCCTTCTTTCGTGTCGTATCAAACATATAACTGTATCCTCCTTATCTCCTCTCCTTCTTTTTTGTGTCTGTTACTTTCTTGTAACACGTTCTAATCTTCGGCACTTATATGATATTATTGCGTTGTGCGTTGCAAGCGCTGTAAAACTCTTACCTTTAAAAACAAGAAAGAACCATGATCGCTGATGTCTGTTGCAGACTTGGCTCTTGATGGTGATGAATGAGGATAGAGAATTCTAATACCCTACTGTACTTAACGTAAGACATTTCAAAGATACAAGTCGACTACGGATGAGTTGATGTTGCCGGGGAAGTGAAAACAAAAGTCCAAAGTTGAACTTAATCGTTAGGATCTGTAAAGAAGAAGAGGTGCTGGAACCCGAGAAAAAGATCAACGTACCCCCCCCCCCCCCCGAAGATCGACTCAAGCGAGTTTAACGCAAGCAGTGTCGTCGAACGAATTAGAGCATGTACAAGCAATGTCAGGCCCTCCGTGAGCAGAGCCACAAACGTTATGCTCGAAAAACCATTTGCAAAATAAGAAATTATGTGTAATTAACAATAATTAAGTTAACTAAGTAAATGTTTTACACCAACGATTAGACAGTTTAGATCATATTAGGAAACACACTACTTCAACCCTGCCCTGCTTGTCATGCCCAACTTACATTGAGAAGGATATAACATCTCAGCAAACAGACGCGGATGGTGGATAAAAAGATAATTGGTCGCTTTTAAGGACAAGCGGGCTAACCCAGATTTCGGGGTTTCCAGAAAATCTAGACCTACACCAAAAGTGGGCATTGCCCTACCTATAGGAAAAGTTTGGTTTCGTTGGTGGGTATATCTGTTTGGTTGAGGAGAAAACTCTCCTTGTTTTTTAAAGAAACTGTACAAGGGGCAAAAACTTTACCTTCGATTTTCTCAAAACACCATGTTTTGGGATAGCCCCCTTGTGCTTAAAAGAGACCAAGGCAGCGGGGTGAAATCAGGCGCTCGTCATAATAACGAAATCGGTGAAAAAGTCATTTGCGGCTAGTTTGGAAATTTCTATCCAATTTTTATTTTTGGGCTTAACCTCAATATATCCCCCCCCCCCCCCAAAAAAAAGCAAAAAACCCCCCCAAAAAAACAACATAATAAATATTTCCATGTGAATTTTACTGAAAACATTGCTTAAAGGCACAACATAATAATATGACATTTTTCTGTTTTCACAGACTCTTCAGCTATTGAACTTGCCAAACTTTGACGACCATTTTCTCGCTAATTTCAACACTGAAATCAGGCAACCTAACTTCCTTCAAAAGCAGATATCTTGAGTTCTATTCAATATATAAATGGATATTTATTTCCCTGGAAGCATGTAAAAATATCAGCTTTCAGGTGACACCAATATCTCCACATGCCCCAAAATTGACGAGCACCTGATTCCACCATGTTGTGACACAAATTATTATCTTTTAGAACCGACTTATCTGTTGAAGCAGGCTTTGTCCAGGACTTAAGTCTGTCTCTAACCTGGGATCGGCATGTTAGTAGGTGGTTGGCGGGTGCTATGCATGTGGGTTGCTCCTTCTTTCCAGTCAAACATCTATCGTCCTTATCTCTCTCCTTCTCATCTTTTTCTGATTTTTACTTTCTAGTAAAAACCTCTAATCTTCAGCACTTATATGACCTAACTGTGTTGCAAGTGCCGTAAATCTCTTTTTAAGCAAAATAAAAATCGGCTCGTTAGCAATTAGCTTAACACATCCTTACCCTAGAAGTACAAAGTTCTATCTGCGCAGTACCTAGTTTTGAGAAATCTCACGTCAAAAGTTATGAGTTCCACATGTCAAGATTTTTGTAATGCATTTGTTTTCTGGTATCTCGATACGAATAATCCTACGATTTTGATAAAGCAGGTAGAACATTTGGTTTCTGACCTTATGTTTTTAGAAACTCCAAAAGGCCAAAAAAGTCAAATAGAACCTTGTAATTCTGAGGTAGAGACAGGTCCTAATGATTTGCTATAACTAAAACATTATAAACAGAAAAAGCCATACAGAAGTTGATGTGTGAGCGATATTTTGGGGATTGAACAGTGGTGTCAGAACAATTTATTTTCTGGTATGAGCAAAACCCCCTATAAAATAATAGTTTCTCTTTCGGAGCGGTTTGGGGGGAGGAGGGGTTGAGTCTATGTTTTCCTGCTTTCTAAAGGGAGGGGTGGGTGGGAGGTGGGGGTATTGAGGTGTGAAAGGTAAAAGCAAAACATGGAAAGCAAATCAACAACTTGTATTTTTCAGCAAACGGTCTTCAGTTTAAAAAACGTAAAGTTTGCTGCTGCAACTTGGACACTGATGTCTGTGGTATAACATTTAGGCCATCTGCTTTAGCCTTAAGGTACCGTGGTACAATTTCCAAGTGGGTAGTCACAAAAGACCGCAGTCAATCAGTGTGTCTTCCATTTATAAGTTATATTATAACTGGAATTATTTGAAAAATCCCCAAAGGAATGCCCAAACTCTCCCATGCCTACAAATCCAGTCAGTAACATCAGATTGAGTAACATCTTGCTCTCATCCTGTCTTACTGGGCATATTGATTGTCAACAGAAAATAGGACCATCAAGCTGCAATATGTAAAAGCGGTACTGATTAACACACTTCCTGTGTATGAATCCACGAGAAAATATAGTTCCAGACACACTGTTCGACACCAAATATTGTCAGTCTTTTGGCTACATTGGCCCCTTAGAGCCTTCGCATGCCCTGACTGGCAGACAGAGCGACAGACGTCTACCTCGTCGTAAGGGATCCAAGTTGTGTCGATGGAGACATAAGGCAAAATTACCAGTCAAATTACCAGATTTCAAAGATGTGTAACCCTCCCCCCCCCTCGCTCCCAACCTCCCTTTCTCACAAAGTCCACCCCCCCCCTCCATCCCCCCTCCACCCTCGCCAGGTTCCTCGCTCATACACACCTTAGAATAAAGAAAAAAAGATAACAAAGCAATTGTACAGTAAATCAATGAAAAAAACACTTCTTTGTGGTGAAGTGAGCGCCAACTCGTCGGCTGTTTATTCCTTGATGTGGTGGATGAAACCATTTCGCTACATGGGCTCCACCTATTTTGACATACTGATCCAGGTGACTTAATTATTTTTCATAATGATCCATTTGACCTGGTTATTTTGATATACGATCCAAGTGACCTGGTTATTTTGTCATGTTGGTCCAGATGACCTAGTTATTTTGACATACTGATCCGGTTGACCTAGCTATTTTTTCACGCTGATCCACGTCACCAACTTACTTTGTGATGGTGATCCTTGTGACCTAGTTATTTGACTCGTGATCGAGATGACCTTGTTATTTTGACATGCTTATCCAGATGAACTAGTTATTTTGACATGCTGATCCAGCTGACGGAGATGTCAAAAAGCCTGGAGTCGGCCCAGGTCTGACACTCCACCTGGAAGCCGTTCTCGTCCACCTTGGTGAGCTCCACATCGAATCGAGTGTTGGCGTTGTTGTCGTGGTCTAAAGACACGATGCCTAGTTTGACGATAGGCGGCTGGTCGTAAGGGTACTGGAACTTGTGAGAGATGAAGTTGTTGCGATCCCATTGGCCCGATTTGACCCAGTGGGTGGAGTCTCCGCAGTGCAGAATGCCCGTCTCCGTGTGTGTGGCTTTGGAGCAATTGGCCAACTGCGAATGCACGGCAGAGATATCGTTCTTGATCTGGTCTATCTTGGTTCTGGTGGAAGATGTATCGTTTTCCAGATCCTTGATATGGTTCACCTGTTGGAGTCAAGGAAAAGAACGGATTTCAGGAGCAGCCAGCCTTTTTTTCTTCTTTTTGTAAAGACGTCCAGAACACATACCATTTTTGTAGCATTTCTTGTGAACGCACTTTGTTGTATCTATTTCTTTTGTACTATACTTCTACACGGCTGTGAATGCTGGATAGTCACTAAAGACAGTGAAAATAAAATAGAAGCAACAGAAATGTGTTTTTTTTAAAGACTGCTGAGAATACCGTGGAAGGAAAATAAATCAAATGAGGTAGTGCTTGACGAAGCCCACGTGGGACGCTCACTGTTAAAAACAATCAGGAAACGACAAATTCAGTTTTGGGACACCTGAATAGACATAAAGGTCTTGAACATCCAGCTCTCTCTGGCAAAAATGAAGGCAAAAGAGGCAGGGGTAGGCCCAGAGCAACCTACTTAAGGAACCTACACAAAAGGGTAACGGGGGAAGATTAAGGAAACGTAGCTTTGTTAAGAGCATCCAAGCAAAGGAAAGAATGGAGAACTATGATCGCCGATATCTGTCGCAGATCGACCACTGGATGAATATTGTACGTACACACATACTATTATGATGTATGAGGAAAGGAGGGAAGAGGGAAGAGAGAGGGAAGAGATGGGAATCAAAAAGTGGGGCGCGGGTTTGTGATAAACGTATGACATAGAATGTTAAACAATCCGTACCGCAGGTACTC